CCTCAGGAGATGTAAGAAAATATTTTTCTCCCTGAGCCTGGCCTTTATAATTCCATTCCATCACAGGTATGAACATTAATGAAACATTTCCTAGGGGTGTGGGGCACAGAAAAGGTTGGGAATCACTGCTTTAGAGCATTCAGTACATTCACAAAGTACTTGTCGGCAACTCAACAGGGCTCTGTTATTTTCCTGGACTGTGCAGCTGCCTCTAGAGCTGCACTAAGTTCCTGTGAAAAAACACATTGCTGACACACAACATATGCACCCATGCATAATTTGAAGCACCTTTTTCATCTCTGATGCATTGTACTATATTGGCGGCAAAGCTGTTAGCTGAGGAAAAATAACTTCCCCTGGCACAGGAATGGGTTAGGGTGGCCCCTGAGTCCCTGTCACCCTGTACGGTGACCTGTGAAGCCCACTCTGTCTCTTATTGCTGAAAACAAAGTACAGCTTCTCATCATCTTGAGGTGGGTAAAAGATGATCCCAGTTTAAAAAAAAAAAAAGAACCCTTGCAGAGCCCTTCCTCCGAACCTAGTCCTACTCTTGAGTGATGTGCCCCCCTCCAAGTTCAGTGTGGTCATTGGCTAGCAAAAGGTTGTCCACCTCTATTGTGGCACATGGCCAATGCCCCTTGCAAGGAAGGAAAGATAACACATTTCAAAAAATGCATTTTCCCTAACGTGTCTGCTTAGCCAAGATCTCAATAAGGTGCAATACAGAGCAGTTACTTAATACATTTTCTTTCAGATTAAAAGCAAGTCTTTTTCACAGCTAAGCAGTGCTTCAGCTTCTTTCACATAGCCTTGGCTTAAATCTACTATACAATATTCTGCTCTTTTACCAAATTTATTATTTTACTAATTGACATACATAATTCATTCTTACTAGGGTCAAAGCAGAGTGTAAACATGAAGAGTTAGTTATACTGAATCTGTTATTCACATTATGTTTTTCGTTTTCCTTGAGTTATGGATCATGCAGACTTAGCAATATAGTCCCACAGAAAATGTTAAAGACACAGGCACATTTTACACACCAAGCTTTCAAAATATAAATAAACTGAAAGAGAGCCTAGTAAGTCCTAGACTAATGAAAAACTTTAGTACAGTTATTGTCATTTTAATATCTCCTGGACTATAAAAAGCACAGTGCTTAAAGGAACTCACTCTGGAATCATGCAACATAAAACACAACATCAGACAACCAAACCTGGTAGGAGACTCTGCCATACTTAACACTTCAGAAATCTATATAGCTACAAACATTTTATATACCATGATACCTCACCACATTTCATCTTTTCTATTCTATTACCTTACATGCTAGCACTGGGAGTAGGAAAGGCAGAGACACACAAAATTGCAGGTATTTTTGTTCTAAAAACATGGGTCCTTTTGTTCAATTAGAAACATCAAAAATAAACTTTTACAACTCTTAAAATCAAGCCCTTCACCTTTTCCTTTCTGAAGCAACAAGGATATTTTAAATAAATATGTAGGTACTGTCTAATTGTCAGCATCATTACTTACATTTCATCCCATCCAGCAACTGCGAAAGGGTTGTTTTGTTCTCTTTAAGCATTAGGCTTCCTGACAAGTAACTATAAAAAAAAATTAAGAAAATTAGCAAAAATAAACAACAGCTAAAAAGAACCATTTAAATTATAGATCATAAAGAGAATGACATTTTGCTAACATTTCGTGATAGGCAATGGAAGATATTTTTAACAGTATTTAAAATACAATTCATGCTCAAGTGATACAACTTAATTTTTTAAAATATCAAAAGTAGAGAAACTTTTGTTATAACTAATTTCTTGTATTTCCACAAACTAATGTACTCAAGGAAATATATATAATCTTCCACACAATGTCACAATTGTGACATTCAGAGACAAAATAGTAAATGTATACAGTCACTTATTTTGACAGGATAAGTCAAAACATTTTTAAAAACTGTAAAAGTAATCATTCCACAGGCAGATTTCTACATACCCCAGAATTAATAAATGATTTAGTTCTGCCAATATCTCATATAGGCTGTTCAGATAATCAAATCAAATCCTGAAATTTGGGCTATACTTCTGACTGAATTGTTGCAGCAGTTATCATTATCCATAACCTCTCTTCATAGCCTATCAAAATGTATTTTTCCTACAGAGACAGAAGATGTTTACATGATTGCTTAAATATTCAGAAATTACCTACCTTTCCATATTAAATCCTGCCCTGGATGCACTTGATACCAGAGCAGTGAGAGCTATCTGAGAAGGTGTAAAGAGAAGGCATGCATCTGTTAAAGATACCCGATTAAGAAAGTCATCTGCTGTCTTCCTCAACGTCTCAGGATTCTCAAGCAATAGATAACGGGTCTAGAAAATAAATACATAATGATAATACTTTGGAATAATCCGTTGCTACAATTTCCTCCAATCACATGTTCAAGACAAGTTTCAAATGAAAGGCAGGTACTAAAAGGATTTCCCTGTTTTCAAGCATCATCATCATCATCATGATCATCATAATAGTAGTAGTAGTAATAGTAGTAGTAGTAATAATGCTGCTGCTGCTGCTACTGAAGAACATGATGATGAAGAAGAAGAAGAAATTAAAAAGCTTATCTATCCCTGTGGTCTTTTTGACCCACTTCAGAATCATCACATATAATACCAAGGTTTTCATGAACTGACTTGACCTAGTTGACAAGACTTTGAGCTTACAAAGTCAACCCAAAAAGTCTTCTACCTTGTTCTTTAAAAAACCCTCTTTTTTTGGTTCTTAAAAAAAACCCTTAGATTTTGAATTATAACATCTAACCCTTTACCAACATTTAGCTGGCATTTGTTTAAGGGTAGCATAAAACTTGCAACAACTATTTTTTCTATACCTCATTACCCATAACTCTGACTTGACTTTGGAGTTCATAAAAATTATGACTATATAGGTAATACTTATATAGTAAGTATTACCTTATATAATATGTATATACTATCCTTATAGAGGAAATAAGAATCCTCTCCTTAAACACACACACCCCAGCACAAACAGTTCAACGTTTCCAAACATCACTTTGGCACTCAGATTTAAGTGCAGTGCTTGGTTACCTTTTTCTAAACTGAAGAAAGGGTTTTTGAAAGATGTGCAAAACAAGGAAAATGTTAGGTATTAGTGTCTATGTTTCATAGTATGGCTATTTGTTCTCAAAATACATTAGCTTAGAAAAAGGAACTTAGCAGTACCACTGTAAAAGTTTAACTATCTCCAAATTATTCATGTAACAACATTTTAATACAGTTATTGCTGTCAAAGCTTAACTTGGTAAACAACAAAAAAAAAAGTCTAGTACCTTCAAATCGATCAAGAAGCCTTCAAATGGTCTGTAAGGATTATGTACTATAAGGTGGAAGTTCAGCTGCTGAATAAGTAACAATTCATATTCCAAGATCTGTTCCAAAGTCTTCTCCTGTCCTGCTGGGCTCTCACGAAGGTTACCAACAAACTGTGCACTAGATACATTAAATTCATCTACTTTACAAGCCAAAAACGCACAAGTTAACCTTAAAAACAAAACAAACACATTCATTTGGTTTTAACAAAAGTGTGCATCCATGTATATCTGAGATAATATAAATAATATCAAAACCAAAAGCATTTTCCTGAGAAACGGAGAGTTTTCACCTTGGAATATAAAAATGAGCCCTGAATATTTCTTGTCTCCTATTAGTTAAAGTTCAAAAATCAATAAACATCTGTATCAATTTCAAAACATAAATGTTAAGAGTTACTCACATAATTATGCGAGGATGATACTCCATTACTGAGTTATTGAGGTAAAAACGTTTGAAATACATGCAGGCTGTACCCTAAAAGGACACAAAAGTTGGAAAGTTCATTCACATTATACCACAAAGGCTACTTTTTATAAATATAAAAATAAATGCAAGAGACATTTTAAAATGCCAGTGGAAAACAAAATAACTTGCTGCTCAATTCTATACACATCTATTCAGAAAAAAATTCAGTTCAACAGAGCCAGAAAGTAAATTTATGGAACAAAAGATGCAGTCCTGGAATAGGCTTATTTATTATTGTACCAATGGTAAGAGCATCTGTCAGCAATCAAGTTATTTATTTTAGATATAAATTATTTGGCCTTCCTTCTATATTATCTGGCTAATAACACCTAAAATTTGCTGTAAACTGATGATCTGCTACAGTAAACCCTTGATTTAACAGAGCTGAGTTTGATGGACTTCAGATGCAATGGACAAAATCTGTCCATGTACTGTATGCTTCTGCACATTTGTAAAATCCTGTTAATCATTTATGCATGGGTAAAATACATAAAATATACCTTCATAAAATTCCATTAGTATTTAATGGATATTCTGCTTTAGTTGATAATAAAACTAAGAGTTTACTAGACTGTTACCGTAAAACCATATTGGCTGCGTAAGATGATAACACAGTTTTATAAATACCACACGCAAGGATATTGAGTGATATATGCTGCTTTCTTCTGGGGGGTTATAAGAATATAAATGGCATACAGCTATGCAAGCTTACAGAAACAGTATGTACATGGTAAACATAGAATTTAATGATCCAGGCATCACTTTCTAAGTGCAGTGATCATATTGTCATCTGAAGTCCAATTTTTCTATATAAAACTAGAGGCCTCAATATTATTGGAGCAAAAGTTCAAAGTAATAGCTAGAGATGTGCAAACCATTTCGAAACATCCCATTTCAACTGCAAAACGGGCTATTTTGAGCATACTAGAGGTGTCTTAAGCTCAAATAAAGCCATTTTCAGCTCACAAGACTTCTTAAATGTTTATGGGGGACATTTTGAAATAGCAGTTTTACATTTCATAGAAGCCATTTTGTAAAGTTTCATACTCAAAACAATTCAACTGAAACACTATAGAAACACATAGTAACAGCATAGCTATTATGCAGCATTCAACTTTAGATTATAGGCTAAAATCAGAACATACAGCACAGTCAATTCATTCTTGAGAATAATCTTAACTTTATCCAATAATTTTAAGAATACTGTATTAAGTAATTTATTATATCTACAAAGATCAGAATTGTGCAGTCCATGGTATTCCCTGTGACACTCTATGGAAGCAAAAGTTGGACTTTCAAGAAGCAGGATAGGATGAGTATTGATGCCTTCGATCTTTGGTGTTGGAGAAGACTCCTGAGAATACTGTGGACAGCCAAGAAAGCAAACCAATGGATCATCGAAAAACCAACCCAGAGTTCTCACTCGAGACACGAATGACCAGGCTGAAATTATCCTATGTTGAACACATTATGCGAAGACCCAGCTCTCTGGAAAAGGCTGTAATGCTGGGAAAGGTGGAAGGAAAGAGAAGAGGACAGCCAGCAGCAAGGTGGATGGACTCAGTTATAGTGGCAATGGGTGCATCGATGGGAGACTTGAAAGAACAGGTTAGAGACAGACCTTCATGAAGAAAATCTATATGGTCACTAGGAGTCGAAAATGACTTGATGGCACATAATTAAGCATTTATAAACTTTTATGGTTATGGATATTTAACACTTAGTATTTTGATTTCAGCTGTGTTCTAACTTTTATCTGTTTTATGTTTTATCTGTTATTCCATATAAAGGTCTGATTTGAAGCACAGTAAAATAATATCTTTGCTAATCTACTTGGAGATACTGAAAATTTCATTCTATTTATTAAACAGTACAGTGTGCAAAACTGGCACACGAATTCCCTTCTGAACAGCACACTAGATCAGTGACTCTGTCCTTCTCCAAGTCAAAAGCAGCATACTTCACAAACACAGTAAGGCCCACATGCCTATGTTCTCAGATAGGCTTGGATTCTTCGCAGCTGTAGTTTTTCCAGAATGATGTGACATGTTTGGTTGTTCCTACCACTGACTCCTGACAAAGCTGATCTCCCATGGTGGAATTTAGCAGTTATGGCAGGGTAGTTAGCTTTCTTGACACTATCATGATCTTCAGTGCATCTCTGCTGGGTGTCTGCTGCACAAACTATAGCAAAAGGCCCTATTGCAAATTGATAGAAAAACTGCTGCTCTGACATAGTCATGCGTAGTCTTTCCTTTCTCTTCTTACCTAACAAAATTTACCAAGCTATTTTTAGCTGAAGGAGAGCAGCCAACAGAAGAAGTCACCAGGAGTCAAGTTCAAATCAAAAGAATCTTTATTTTACAAGACAATACTTAAAGCAGAAATAATGGAGGACCAGAGTCTGCATGGAGTGAAGCCATCAATCACAGAACAGTCCACCTTGACCTCTGATTATGCATGCCTGGAAGCAGGCAGTAGTAATCATTGCACATTCTTAAAAGCTTTTCAGCATTCCAAATAAACATGACTAATTAGTAACTAATGATAATGCACAAAATAAAAGATTCTGCACATGGAACAGAAAACCTTTACAAACCACACTAAGTTTGGAAAATTAAGGGAGAAAGGAATGGAATAAATCTTACAAAAAAGAATTAATTGGCTATGTACGCCCAACATACTGAACTATATACTAGCCATTTTTCTTTAATCACAGGGTATTATATGAACCCAGACTGTGTGGTTAATTTATACTTCTGTGTGTCATGAACATTAAAAAATGGGTTCTATTTAAATCATACTTAACAGTAACATTTTATGTAAGCACAAGCAGACACAGGTTTCTCTAACACACAAAAGTTAGAACAGGCATAAAAAATTCAACAACTTACCACAACAGATCTGGGCATTGCTGGTTTAAATACAGAGCAAAAGTCTGCTAATCTTTTTTCATAATGTTTACAAATTATCAGCTCTTCACTTGGGTCAAGAAGAAACGAGTCTGTCTGTTGAACCTTATGAAAGAATAACATGTATCTTAAATGGAGATCACCATTCACTAAAATAGGCTACAGCTGTTAAGTGGAACTATTTAAGGCATAATCCTCTACATCAGTCTTTCCCAACCTGGTGTTGTCCACATGTGCAGGGCTACAACTCCCATTACCTTCAGGAAACTAAAGGCAATGGGAGTTATAACTGCACATATCTGCACAGAAGAACTCTGGGAAAGTCTGCCATATAATATAATCCTTAGACTACAACCCTGCAGCGTTTATCTTCCTGGCGCTCAAAGTAACTGAAAAATACAGCACAGGATATTTTTACAGGATGTGTAAAAAAAAAAAATCCCCCTCCTGCCAAGAGAGGAGTGGAAGGCTGGTAACACCCAGTCCATGGCATACTATAACAGTTGTTTCTCTCAGTCTTAAGGGAAAGTGGAACCTATATACCAGTGTTTTTCAAACTTGGTAACTTTAAGAAGTGTGGACTTCAACTCCCAAAATTCCCCAGCCAGCATGCTGGGTTAGGGTTAGGGTTGGTACATACAGGTAGTCCTCACTGAACGACCACTCATTCAGCAACCATTCAAAGTTATGACAGCACTGAACAAGTGGTACTTAGGACGGGTCCTTGTAGTTGCAGCCATGGCAGTGTCCCCACAGTCATGTGATTGCAATTCGGGTGCTTGGCAACCTACTTACAATTACAACATCACAGCATCCCAGAGTCATATGACCACCATTTGCAACAATCACTGCCTGCTTCCAACAAGCAAAGTTGATGGGGAAACCAGCAAGAGGCTGAAAAATGGCAATCGTGACCACAGGGCATTGCAACCATACAGAATTCACTTAACAACGGTAACTTGGACTGCCTCAACCGCCACCGTAAGTCAGCACAGTCACGTGACATCACGCTTTACAACGGCGTTGTTAAGTGATGAGTTCCCAGTCCCGATTACCGTCGGTAAGCGAGGACCACCTTCACCATTCTGAGAAATCTTACAGAGCGTGATCCAAGCGACACAAGGCAAATGCAACGGAAAGCAAGCTTGGGAGCTTCTTGGCTCTTCGGCCTGGCCTCTCGGCCTCCTCCGCTCCTACCTTCCCATTGGCCACAGCTTTGCATCTGAACTTGCGGTTGGCGTCAGAGCGGCGGCGGCCCAGCTCCTCCTCGCTGCGGAAAGTCCAGTAGCGCCTCTGCGTGCTGCTGTGGTACATCGCGGCGACCACCGCCCGCGATCCCAAGCTTCTGCCGCCTTTCAGGCGAACCGCCTTCCACAAATCCGGAAACGGCCAAACGCCCCGCGACGGGAATGGCCGTCTCGGGCCTCGCCCCCGCTGTCGTCACTGTCGCCACCAGCCCGCCCCAAGTTCCCGGCGTGCTCTGCGCCAAAGCCGAGGCCGGCTTTCCCCAGCACGCCCGCGTATCGAAACTCGTGCGGCTTTCTCGCAGGGACGTTCCAAGAGATAGGAAAAAGAAGAGTCGCTTTATAAGTCAGCACTTCCGGAAACCTGTTTTGTATTAGACAGCAACGCGCCGTCTCTGTTGGGCAGCCTATGCGTGTTTACTCGAAGTAGAGATCCAGAGGGAAAGGGAGCCTTAGATCAGAGTAAAGGGAAAAAAAGATTTCGCGGGCTCACGCTGCATATTTAATAGCAAATCAGTTATTTCAGTTTCCCGTGGTTTACAAACCAAGCCCGCGTAGAGAACGGGTGACTCAATGCTCCCGAAATTTGGGCGAATTCGATGTATCATCATTAGCTCATCCTGGATTATCATATCATGCGAATTTTTTTCAATTAACTATCCGCAGGATTGCAGCCTTAATCTAACCTGCCGCAAATTCTGATCTGCCTCGCCCGTGTCTCTGTTCAGTCAACTGGCAGCTTGGGAATCCCGCCGATGTGAGAGTCAAATTTGGGTCCTTAACTCTAGCATAGGAGGCGAGAGACGCCGTCGAGCGGACATATAGAGATAAAAAAGTTAGGAGCTAACGCACACCGCGCGATTCCGGGCTTGACCGCTGCGCTGAGGGCAAGAAAAAGACGGCTGAGAAGCCCCGCTTAGCTTTCCTCGCCCGTAAATTCTTCCCGGGCTCCTTGTCCTGGTTGCCTGAGCGCTCAAGTCCAGGGACGAAACAGGGCGAGAACCGGACCTGCTCAGTCCGAAAGGTTGTCCGCTGGGCATTCCCGGGTGGTCGCAATTAGCAATTCGCATTTTGGAAAGTCGAAGACTAGCGGACGCCGCGATTATATCCAAGTAGAGCCTTGCTGGCTGCGAGGGATGGGAGTTGTAGCCCAGCGAGGATATGCGCAGGCTGGGTCGGCGGATACCCCGCGTGGACAATCCGCGCAGCTCTGGCCGTGGGCGCCTCCTCCGGCCCAGGGCGCAGGACCTCGGCGCTCCGCCGGGCATGGCTGGGAGGAAGATCCCGTTAGACCGCCGACGCCCTCGCCGAGGAAGCCTCGGAAGTGCCCACCGGTGCTACAACAGCCCGTGACTGCCCCGGCGCAGCCTGCAGGGCATAAACCCCATTCTCTCTGTGTGGAAAGGTGTGCGGCTCTGAACACCGGCTTGCTTAACCTGCTGTCTTCCGGACAGGTGGACTTCATTTCCCATAGTGCCCGAGGCCAGCCCGGGAATTATGGGAGTGCAATAGATCAGGTGGGTCCCAGGATGCGGAAAGGATCCCTCCTTCTATTGGTCGAGGCGCTGCGGAGAGAAGAGAGTTTTGCACCGCGGCGCAACTCGAAGCGGCTTTTTTCTCCTCGTCTTCTGCAGCGCTGCGAGCGATTGGTTCCTGTCTTTTCTCGATGGACGCAATTCCCGGGGAGGCGGTCCGAAAAGGATATCGCATCTCCCAAAGCGGTTCCATGGCCCCCCTTTTATAAGAGGAGTATTGCGCAGCTAGGCTACCAGCTATCTACTATCAAAGCTAATAGTAGGCTCCCTTCGGGTGGATAGCTTTACTATAGATAGATTTTTGAGGAATTCGCAGGGACCGGCAAGAATTTCCTTTTGTGCAAGATTTGATCCTTCTGAAGCAAAATTCTGCGATGCCCTAATGTCCTGTCTGTCTGTGCAGGCATAAAGGAGACTTCATTGGAAGATGCCTCGGGCGAAACAGGCTTCACTTACCGCCTTCATTAGAGCAGGATAACATCCACCCACTCCCCCGTAGATCCCTGATAGGCAATTTGCATGAATTAAACATGCAATAAAAATTCTTTATTGACTCATCTCTTTATTAAAAAGGAAGGAAACATGATAAATGTAACTTTAAGTGGAAGAGGATGCAGCTTTCAGAAGATGTGATCATACTGATCTCAGCCGCTGGAATAACTAGTATTTTGTGAACATACAGAAGAGCCTTAAGCTGTCCATTTTCCCCCAAAGCAAATGTTTAAGGGTAATGAAAGGGTTATTTGTATCTACACTGTAAGTAGTTGTTGCACCTCCTTAACTGCCAAGAAAAATTCCCTTGCATCCAAGTTTTAACCTTTGGCTTGGTTTCTTATATGAGTATATAACAGTTTAACAGTTAGGAGGGGATAAATAGGGACCCAGGAAAAAAGTTTGGGTTGTCCAACAACAATAGATACAATACAATATTACTATTAATACTGTAATAGTTCTGCAGTACAGTAACAATATTGGCAAAAATACCTTCCACTGTTCTGGAATATAGAAATGATAGCACCACAATTATACCGATGGTTGGTATAAGTCAGAGGGCTTTTACCCCAACACCTTTAAAGTGTCCAAGTTAAACTAAGCTGGATAATTTATTGTATAAATAGGCAGAGATGGGAAAACTCTGGATGTAATTAAGGAAGCAAGTAGTCACAGGTTGTTCACACTTACAGTATATCAAACATGTGACATATCTTTCACTGCATATTCCTAGCACAGAGGCAGAAGTCATCCATATGCTTTGTGTTTCTAGAAATAGCATATCAGCATATTAATGTTGATTATTTATTCAAGGTGTTGCAAAAAGCAATACTGATCTTGTTCAATGTTTTGAAAGCAGCAGTAGCAAAAATTATTTTATAAACTTTACCAAGCCATTAATGGTAGAAGGGAATAATGCAAATAAATAAAACCTCAGTACTTGTTTAATGGTACAGCTTTAATGGATGACTCAGAAAGATGCACCACTGAAAATTAAAACTGGAAACTGAAATGTGCTAGTTAATTATGAATGGCTCAATTGCCTGTTGTGCAAATTGTCCACAGGCTAGAGAATTAGAAATGCAGTGTTAATTTTACAAGTATTGTAATCTCATTTTCATAACTAGCTGTAAAAGTTATTAATCAGTTGCTCTGGCCAATGATGTGTAAACGTTCTTAATCTATGAAGATGTTTTATTTTGCCATTAAGCATTACATGTCCTAGAATATTTGATCAGAATTATGAGAATGGTGGAACAGCAAAGCAAACTTGGAAGATAATGAAAATTATCCAATTACTTATGCCTTTAAGAATGGACTACCTTAGCTATATCAAGATCTACCAGAATTTTGCTGAGGTATCTCTTAAATAAGAATGTCTGTGCTTCCTTGTTTGTTATTTATTTCTTAAATAAGAAAAGTTTTGTCTTCCTTGCAGTGAGAGTGTAGACCAGACGTAGAGTAATTGAATGGCTCTACAGAGACTGATAAATAACCTCTTCTGTCAATTTTGGCCATTGGCCATGTTGTCTTTGATTAACGAAAGCTGGAATTCAGGAATCAGCCAATTCAGTCATCCACTTCTAGAAAGTTGTTTCAACAGAACCTCACTTCCGTGCAGATTTAAACAAATGTGGTAAAGTAAAGATGCTGTTGTTATGGGTCTTTGAGTCAAACTTGACTCCTAGTGGTTATGCATCCCTGCAGGTCCACGCTGTTTTTGGAAGTGGTTTATTGGTACTTTCTTTCAGGACTTTTTTCAAGTTCCCAGCCTAGGGCTGAGAGAGATTGATGGCCCAAAGTCACCCAACCCACCTGTGCCTAAGGGAAGACTAGAACTTAGGTATCCCCACTCCTAGGCTAGCACTGTTAACCACTGCATTTAACTGTCTCTTTAAATTAAAGATAACCAGTATCAAAACATTTTGTACTTGATACCTCTGATGCAGCATGCACTCTGCACCTAAAGTAAACATCAGCATTCTGCTTTGTACCAAGAAAGGACTTTAAGACATGGATAAGGTGACCTCTTCAGCTCCAAAGCCATATTAGTTGCTAGGTCAGGAGTTGCACATACTGTATGTGTGCACCCATTCACCTTGATGGGGCATTTTTTAGACAAAGGAATTGGAATAAAAATTCCAGGCCTCAGAAATGGAAAGGGCTCCACTCAAACTATGATTTAGTATTTAAAACAGGTGGGTTGATCTTTTCCATTCATTAAAGCTAATCACTCCCAAGAATTAATTTGGTATTTTGGGTTTCCCCATGCACTGCTGTTTTGCAGAGCCTTAGACCTCAGTTAGCCAAAAATACTGCAAAAAAAAAAAAAAAAAGGAATGACACTGACATAGGATTAATGGGAAAAGAGTTGAGTGGGGAATTCAAAAGATGCTCTGTCCTTGGGTTTCTCAAAGGCTGTGGTCCATTCATGTATACACTTAACAGCCATATGCACATTCATCCTTGATGATTTGAGAGACTAGCAATGTTGCTTGCAAATTATTTCTCTTCTACTGAGTAGCAGAGTCTAGGGCGGAGAGTAGTGAAAGATTTAGCCTCTTTCTTCTGGCAGTCCTGCTCTTGATTGCTGTGCTCTGTCCCTGGCAGATAGCAGATAAGACTGGTTGACATTAAAAGCAGGTGGTGCCATAGGCATCTGCTCTTAGCTACAGTGATGATGTGTAGGGACATCAAAATGCAAAGCCCATCCTTTCATATTTGTGTCCTGATGTCAGATACAAGTGCATAAATCACAGCATTTGAGTCATGATATCATGACACATTTAATCACTACCTCTGTCCCTTATGGATGCCTGTGGGTGGTGCTCACTGTGGCTCTTCAGATTCCAAGCTTTATGGCTTTAGGTTGCTTACTCTTCTGTTAAAAAACATATTTAGTTAATACAGGCTGGTTTACATATACAGTATTTTATTTGTTTGCGCTTCTGACAGTTAAAGGACAGGCAAGAAGCCCTACTGCTGTTACTGGATACAAAAGAGGGCCCCTCATTCTCCCTGCCATTCTACTGGTTTCACAGGTATTCGGCTGGGGCCAAGGAGACCCTTTGTCTCTATGATGATGACTAATCTTGCGTCAGTCACTCTTTCTCGAGCTAACATACCTTG